CTCTCTGCCTGGGGAAGGATGTATGCTGGCCTCGGGTCACGCTTAAACCAGGCCTCATGCACACAGCTCCCCCCCCGGGACCAGGGTGCCAGGAGAACTTCATTTACTTCATCTGTGCCCTCTCTTTTTCTCCAGTGGGGACCCCCAAGCGTTCTCCTCTCCTCCCATTTATCCTCACAGCAACCCTGTGAGGTAGATCAGGCCGAGAGGGTGTGGCTGGCCCAAGGCCACCCAGCCAGCTTAGGCACGGCAGAGGGGAGATTCGAACCCGGGCCTCCCCCCAGACCCCAGTCCCACACTCCAGCCACTTCACACACCCGGCTCCCAGTGGCATAAGGCGGTGGTGCCCCCCCCCCCGCTGACCTAACGTCTGCAGAGCGGCCTCTGTGTCGCCACGCTGCCAAGTGTGGGCCCCCTGCCATACGGGCGCCCACTGGGATGCGGACGAGGACCAGTTGGGGCTGGGCCGGGAGGAGGAGGAGGAGGAGGAGACGAGAGGGCCGGCACCGTGGCCAGGACCTCATGACCAGCACTGGGCAGGTGACCTACAGAATCATCGGTCCTGCTTCCTCCTCCTCCTCCTCCTGCCTGGTTGGGGGGCTGGAGGAGAGGCCCCACATAGCCCAGCCAGTTCTCCTGCTGGGGGGGGGGAGCCCAAGTTCCACTGCCTGTCCCCACTCCCCCCCCCTGGAGCTCCAGTGGTGTCCGTGGTTTCTCCCCACTTTCTGTCCACACGGCCACCCTGCAGCACAGCTTCCGAAGAGGAGGACGGACTGGCCGGCCGGCCGGCTGACGCCCAATGGTCCACCCGCTTCACCACCGACCCTGCCTGTCTTTCAGCACTGCCGGGAAGGGATCCGGGCCCCGTCGTGGGGAGGCCGTGTCCTCTGCGCCAGGCTCGCAGCTGGCGGCAGGTGCCCGCGGGTGTGATGGCAGGAGGCACAGGAAGGGCCCCCTTCCCTGGAATGGGAGCTTGCTGGGGGGGGGGGGTTTAAGGATTCACCGCGAACCCTCACTTAGTGGCTCCCCCCCCCCCCCATCCTGGACAGCACTGGAAGGGGCTCCTCGAGGGGCCCCCCGCCCCCCCACGAGTGCAGAGGGGCAGGGGTCCTTACCCAGGTCGCGATCAGTGGCGAGCAGCCGCAGCACCGGGACCCCGGCGGGCAAGTTCTCTGCCACGCTGGCCTCATAGTGGCTCCTCTGGAAAGTCGGCATCTCATCGTTCACGTCCAGCACGTGCACTGTCAGCAGCTGTGTGGCGGAGCGCCGCGGGGAGCCGTGGTCCGTGGCCACCACAGTCAAGTTGTGCTGGGACACCTCCTCCCGGTCCAGGGTCCTCACGGTGGTCAGCGCCCCTGCGGCAGGCAGAGCAGGCAGAGCTTCCGTGAGTCCCCCCCCCCA